TTAAAGGGTTAAATGTTGTTGAATTGGATTGTGAGATGTTCAATAACACTCTACATCCATGTTGTTTTGGATACTCCATATTTATATAGTAAACTGAATTATTTGCAAATTTTGATTGGTTTTTATAGGTGATCTATTTAATTATTCATACAGTATATGAGGTCACCTCTGACCACATTTTGCTTTTTCATTTTATTAAACAAATAAACATCTTGTTGTGGTGGTTCTGTACTGTAATAGATCATGGAAGACTCCAAAATGTGATAAGAACAGATTCTGTTCAATGACACACTCAGCTGCACCTTATATGCCACAACGTCATCTGTGATCTGTTACTGAACAGCCATACAGCAAAATGGAATCTTTGTTAAATATGTACATAACATGGTACGTGTTACATATATCTTGTGTGTTTTTTAATTTCACTCTGTGTGCACTTAAAGTAATACCTTAATTCCTTGGCACTAGGTAAACAGAGATTTTTCTTTTTAGGTGATTCATGTATATGTAGGTCATTTGTTATTAGCAATGCTCAAGCAAATAAGCTAGGTAAATACAACTCATTTGATTTCTGTTGGCAGGACTCATCTTGGGGTCATTTTTCTATGGTTATATTATCACTCAAGTGCCTGGTGGCTGGTTAGCTGCACGAGTTGGGGCCAAGTACTTATTTGGTTTTGGAGTACTTTGTACATCAATATTGACATTGTTTACCCCTGCTGCTGCAAATCACAGTGTTGGGATGTTTATTCTAGTCAGAATATTGGAGGGGTTTGGAGAGGTCAGTTTTTTGGATTTAGTAAAATGTAACCACTCTAAGGTGTTAATTTCACCAAAATCAGATTCACTGACATGAACATTTTTTATCAGCTGATTTAGAAGGTAAGGTGTAGTGGCAATTGAAGGGTTAGCACATTTATTATATGTAATTATTTGCTTCTACTTTGAGTTATTTTCTATACTTAGATGTGGAACTGCTTACATTAAGCTATCAGGTCACAAAGAAACTGATTCACTCTGCTTTTGGAGGAAGAACAAAATAGACTAACAATTAAAGTGGAACTTTTGGATAAGGAAATGTTTAATGCACCCAGGAAAAAAAGAGCATAAAGACAATTTAATAGTTGCTTATTTAGTTCTTTCTATGAATAACAAATTTTATGAAATAAGTGAGTAAAATAAGTGTCCTGATCGCTCAAAAAAATTAGTTTATTCCTCCACTTAACCCATTATTTATTTTTTTAGGACAAAAGGCTGCACTTTCCACCAGTTTACCTACTTAAGGTAATAACCAATGGAGGATGTTGGGAGAACGCTAAAAAATTTTGTAAACCTTGTGATTTACAAACTTTTCTCATGTTCCCCCAACATCCCTATGGGTTATTACACCACTTATAATATACCTGAAATTACTCAGTTCTGATTGGTTAAGATAAATGCAGTTTTCAGGTAATTCAATGCAACAAGAAGTAACAAACCAGACATTCTGATTGGTTAATTATCAAAGAAGCTCATCAGGTGATAGATTAGAAGTGATTACAGTTCATCAATAGTTCAAATTGATGAATTTTCAGTTTGGGGAAAAGATGCATTACTGTACAGTAAACTAAAATAAGAGTTCAGACTGGTTTCTAGATGATCATTACAATGAAGATTATAATTATAATCATGATTATAATTAAATATTAATAATAATTTATTGGCCAACTGTATTGATCACTACAGGGTGTGACGTTCCCAGCCATGCATGCCATGTGGAGTAACTGGGCTCCACCATTAGAGAGAAGCAAGCTTTGCACCTTGTGTTATTCAGGTAATAATTTATTAGACAAGTATTACCCTGAAAGTAAAAGTTTTATATCCTAGGGTATTGATAATGAAAAGTCTGTCTTGAACAGGTAAAATTAAATTGATAGGTTAATATAACCTTTCTCTACAAATACACTGCTGTACTAGTAATAAGATAACAGTATGTCGATCCATGGTTAATTGATACAACTAATCAAATTCTGTTATACTCTTATTCGGTACAGCATATGTTGTTCCCCAAGACCAGCCCTCCTTCAACAATTGTAGACATTTCTTATTGTCTTATCCATGCCCTTGTTACAATGAAGCAGTCCTGTAGACAGACAGAATAATTATTACTGTAATTATAAAAGTGTACCATCCATAGGTGTTTTAAGCATATGGCCAGAGCAGTATTAGGGTAAAGTAAACAATAATGTTCCATTCAAAATTTTTTTTTTTACTATTGCTTTGATGTTGTGAGGGATCAAAATGCGAATGTCCCAGGCTGTATATGAAGTTTTAATTGAATGTGTTTTAAATTTATATATATATGTCTTAATGTTTTATCCTCATCAGCCCTGTGTCTAAGTGGCTTCTTCTTGTTTCCCTGAGGGTAATTTATAATAGAAAATGCATTATACAACTTTCTAAGAGATTATACATGTATTTACTGGAAAGCACATACACCTTTTACATATCTCTAGTGGAGTGAGCTTCTGTTCAAACCTTTTTTTGTATTTAAAGCACTTCATATATATTTACTTTCCTGTTTTTCCACAACAACAGGCCTTAGTATTGGGACAGTAATTGGCTTGCCATTGGCTGGTGTGCTGTGCTCATCTGATCTTTGGGGAGGATGGCCATCTGTATTTTATATTTTTGGTATGTACATTTACACCCCTCTATGCATTTGAAACTGA